GAATTTATCGAGATAATTTTCATGATTTTGAAACAACCTAATCAACATTATTGTTCAGTGTTTATTTCAACTGGAAGAAGATGCAAATTATTTAACTATTGAGTTTATCTATTACCTTATTCAAATTTCTTGTTTAGAAGTGATTGAATTGTTATGTTGAATCGTTTTTAAATCTATGACAACGATCATGTTTGGTGTGCTATGTCCGATGTCGGGATTGCGCGATAACTGCCTACAAGATTTGACTCTGGACCGTAACTTGTTCATGTGATAAGTTGGAAAGTCATCATAAGTAACTAACGAAATAGGCTTTTTCTCTCGGAAAATGATATGCTGATATTATTGTCTTCAGTGAGCTACCATCTCACAACTAATCCGGCTAAATTAATTGTTTTTTCGATAATTTATTGTCATTAGAAAGTAGTTTATTGATTATCGCTTTACACAACACAGTTATAAGCGATTTGTTTAAATTCAGAATAAAACTGATGAATGAAAATCTATTGCACAAGCAAGTAGCTCTCAGGTCTCAGCAGCTATGTGGATAACGCGATGACGATTGAGGCGAAGGATACTGGGATCGAATCGCAGGGTGAAAATCGCTCCTGAGATGCAGGTACATCAAGCTGATGTGTCTCGATTAGTAAGAAACGCGCTTTAAACCGAATTTCACAGCTAGCCATTGTCCATCTTTGCTAATAATTTGAACTGTTGCAAAGTCTGTCAATGCAATGCATAACATTATTTTAATGAAAAGACACTTGAATAAAATGAACATTGATACTGTTTTTCGGTTTTTCAGTTAATGAAAAAGTTGACAGACTTTTTATTACAACAGTTTGAGAACAATATTTTGTTTTGTTGAAGTTTCGTTCATTCTTCTGGTTTCCTATAAAAAAACAAACGTATCAACAACGCACATTACACTTGAATCCATGTGTAAACAGGTAACCTTTTATGTTATTCAGAACCATCTTCAACAAATAAATTCAAACAATACAATCAACAATTATTTGTCTACCACCACGAGTATTATAGGCAAAGTAATTTAGTAGTTCATTCAAGGGAGAACAATTTAAGCTTCATTGAGAAACAGCTAATGATATAGATGTTTGTAAACAGCTCTAACCAACTATAAATATATCAGTGACACCTACATTTAAAGTTAATCAGAAATCCAGTTTAGATCAAATGATTTTTGTGTGATCTACTGAGTTGATAGATACCAGAAACCTTATCGTGAGAGGTCCAAAGAGCGATAAAGTGTGACAGAGACTTCAGGTAATCTTGGAAGATGAATAACCTGTTACTGGCACTTGGACTGACGGACAAACTATCTGGAGGAGTGCAGAAAACTCGTCTCTATTAAACTTGGATATCTTTCACGGTAGTGATACAGTTTTAAAAGTAAGCTGATATAGCCACTGGTTGAAGTTTGATAGTCGGACGTCATATTATCTGACTTGCTTTGGAAGCTGGCCGTGACACTTTAAATGACGGATTTACCATCCTCTCATAATTAACACAGAAGAATCGGTTTAACTAGTATAGTAACGAAAATACAAGCTTCTGTGTCCGTATGATGACAAAATTTTGATGTTGATGAGGAATTCTTGGAAGCTTGGACAGGTTTTAGACTTGAATGTGAATGTATCAACTAAATGCACACTCTTCAGGTTTTTAAATACAAGCAAACTTAATGGCATACAACAAGAGTCCTATTTCTTGACTCCGAGAAATCATTCGTCCGTATTGATCAAAAGCTTTCGTGGTAATTTTTTTGTTAAAATGCTGACCATAGCAGCAAACAAATCTTGCGAGTAATCTTTTTTATGGTGAATGTTTGCTTGGGTCGGAGATTGTAGTCAGGTGTAACCAGAATTGTCGTGTGATATTCATCAGAGATGGACAACATTCATCGTTTTTATTTATTTTATCTATAAATATTCCCTTATGTGTGACGATTCCATCACCTCACTTATCATGAGTCGATAATCGCACAAATGATGCACTGGTTGACCTAGTAAATGTCGACAAAGCCGAGTGAAGAAGCTGCACAGGAGACTGAGTAACGGAATCTATAATTTGTGATCGACTGGGTTGTTTGAAACATGTGCAACTTGTGTCCATTCACCACTTGCTTCAACTGGCTGCTCCTAGTCCAACAGACAGCCTAATCAGGTGTTAGCGTTAGTCCATGAAGTCACAGATTGTTGTTCCGATCTCATCAGTAGGTGCAGCACATATGATTTAAACCAATGCGTTAATAACAGTCACTATTTGGAGTTTTCAAGGTGTTGACATGGCTCAGAATCGTCCACTCTTTATCTTCCACTAGATATCGAACCTCAGTAATCCTCCATGCAAACGCTTTTACTCTACCATTTCAAACCATATTAAGGACGTGTAATTTTCATGACTATCATCGCTAACATTCTATCTCAATGTATTTTGTTACTTTCATCTCTATATGCTAATATGGTTTGACGATATGCACCAATATATACCGACAACAGGGTCTAAGCTAGTGATAGTTGAATGATTGACGATTGCAACAGAACATTCATTGTCTCACATTTTCAGGAAGAATTGTTAAGGAGTCTTGACATTTTCGCTCTACAATCATTTGTAATTGTAAGATATGACTTGATAGTTTATTAAGTGAAAAGGTTGTCATCTGATTTAATTTGGTGCAAACCCTAAGACATTTATTCAATCAATCAAGTAACTTAATGCATTTAAATCAATCCATTTACTACGTTGAGTAGTTTATATGCGTGATAATTACTCATAAGTAATATTGCATACTATAACAAAGCCAATACAGCATCCAATAATATAAGCGAAGTTGAATTATAGCTAACAGTGGAATGCAGTTTGACGCACGTTTCGTCCTATTTCAGAAATGTCAGCCGGATGTACCTGTATCTCAGAGTTGATGTTCACTCCGGGACTGGAACACAGTACCATACTATATGATCCAGATGCACCCCACTGATGTGTATTAAATAGGATGGAACGCGCGAGTGAAAATCGGAAAACATCTTCTAAGGTGATTACTCACATTTTTAGGCCTTTAAGTTGAGTTTACTGAAGAAAAAATCAGAATTATTCAAAATGGTTTGTAAATAAGACAATATTATCATACAATTACAAGTTTATTTCTACATTACGTAACGAAACCCCTAAAGAGATTACTTACTTTCTTCCTGCATTATACTTTCGTAGATTTTTATTCTTTCTTCTAATGAAAGTACTTGATAAGTTAGTCGATTATTATCAAACAATAAAAGTCACTTACATTCAAGGACATCTATTCTTTGAACTTCCATATTTGTCAATGTTTTAAGATGATCATCTGTAAATCATGATGAAAATGAACTAAATTTTATCGAAATTAACAGTGTACAGTACTTGTTGAAGAGATCCAGGAAAAGCGAAACACTGCTCTGAAAAACGAGAGGAGCATCGTATCCAATAGGCATTCAACTAAAGGTTTACCAGAAACATTTAGAATGTGGAACGTCACACGCTGAGTTTTTGATAAGATGAATACCGATACAGCTACTATGTTTAAGTAACTTTTCATAGTTTTCTGTAAAATCAAGGCCGTCTAAAATACCATAGAAGAACTAGATTTTCTGTACATAAACTAGCCTTTGAAGTAAAGCATTTTGGATACCAGATAGGATGAAACGCGCGTCAAACTGGATTCCACTTGTAGCGAATATCGATCTTTGCTTATAATCTGATAAAACTATTTTACTCAAACATCTTAGAATCACATACTGATTTCATTATCTCGTTGAAAATTAAACTGCTACATACGGAAAATTAGGCCAAAAGAGGAGGGGAAGACCGAAGAAAATAATACATTGATAAACTGCGACATACATTAGAAGAATGAACAACAATTGAAAAGAATTATAAGAGAAGGCCTGGGACAGAGTGGATTTGAGCGTATTGGTCGGCGGCCTATTCTCCAATGTCAGTAAATGGCGTAAGTAAGTAAGTAACATTCAGATAATTGACCACTACATAAACCATCGACTTCAAATGATGAACACACTTCATTGGTATTATTTCTACAAAACTTACATGATGCATCGAAGTATCTGATGGTGGCATTACGGTTTTTGTCTTCTTCAGCTATAACTTCCGGATTTGCTATAAATTATAATCACAGTAAAACATAGCTAATTAAGGTGCTGGTTATAGTTCCCAGTGAAACTATGATTTATAGACAACTTTTTCAGAGTGTTCATCTATCTACTAGGGTTTAATGAGGGTTACAAAGCAGTTTGAATTATAAGAATTATGATTCACAGTTTACGATTATGGCTAGGAATTAAATTTTGGGTTTTCATCAGGAACCATCATCAGCTATAATGAGATGATGATTTGTAGCTTAGGTGGATGGTTATGATGGAGTTTTGTTCTATGAGCTGGATGGCATGGTTGTAGAGCATTCATCATTCTGTTGAGAGACATCATCAGCACAAACTGTAGGTAGATTTCTATAATCGAAATCAGCTATAATGCCAAATCTTTATTTAGCCAAATGGATGATTAAAATTTGCGCTAAATTCCGACACCTGTTATCTTATACGTGATTGGTTCGTCCATAAATTATTATCTCGCCAATGATAAAATTATTTATTTCACAATTCAGTAATTAATACTTACCAAAAAGTTCTTTATTAAGTGCATCATCTAGATTGTTCATAGACTCCTTCATTCGCTCTGATATGATATTTTGAGATATGCAAAAAGTGTTCAAAAATGAATTTGTTGGGGTTATGTTGTTTGTTTAGTTTCAATTGATATCAATACTTTGAGACTATCGTTTAAAACCTGAAAACACTGAACGGTCGTTTCGTGCCAGCATGGAACTCGTCAGTTGTGCGGATACGTGATCCCACACACAGGAATCCAGTACTAAGACAAAACGGATGTTCAGTCTTCCCAGTAATGTAATAGTGGATCATCTAGTGAAATTACTATTCACCTTTATAGTCATTGACTTTCTGTCTAAGATCTTCAACTTTACGTTCCAAATTATGTCGTTGGATTGGATCTAAAAAACAAAGAATAACTGGTAACACTATGTGTGATAAGTTTGACATTATTATTCAAACACAAAATAGTTTATTAAAGTATGTAATTGTATGAAGTTATTTGCTTAATTATCTACGTACCTGATGTGCTTTTGGCTTCAGCTTCAGTTGCCTTTAAATCCACTAAAATGATGATGTATACAATGGATACTAATTATTCTCGTATGTAATATGTTGAATAGTTATCATCAATTCAGATTAAACTAATCTTACTACATATATAAACGATTAGATCAATTAAATATATTTTGGAAACCCACATGATATGTATCAATACCAAGGTGAGACTTGATAGTTTATTATTACATTATATGTGTTATTTTCTTCTACCATATACAAGATAATTATTTCAAGTAATATATTGTGGGTTGAAACCTCGCGAAGCGGGGTCGTGAATAGGCACTGCTGAGGAGTCCCGTATTAGGACGAAGCAGCCTTTAAGTGCTTTCAGGTTTTCTATTGTGGTCTAGCTTCAATCCACTCATGAATTCAATTAATAAACTATCATAGTATCTAAACATGAATACATTTGAGGACAAAACAACTAACACGAGTAGTCTACGAACAGTTCTGTCATTTCACTAATGTTTTTCTGCATTTCTTTGACTGAAATAAAATTGATGAAAGATTATTATTTCACATTGATGATTCAATGAATGAAGAGAAAAACGTGACTATTAGATGGTGGGAAAAAATTGGTAGCTCAAGGTCAACCTTCACATGGAATCCTCAGGGTCAAAGCACAAGCGGAAGACCAAAGAGCACATTACATGGATAAACCAAGACAGACATGAGAAGAATGAACAACAATTGAATAGAAGTGGAGAGGAAGGCCGAGGACAAAGCGGGTTGAAGAATGCTGATCGACGGCCTGTGCTGCATTTGGAGTAACAGGCGTAGGTGAGTAAATACTCGCATCTGAAAATATTACTCATTTCAAATGATGAAATTGATTTATAAAGTGTGAACCTCCGCCAGTTGCTAAAATTCGATCTAACCAAACAAGATTCTAACAGAATTATCATCAATATATAATGGAGAACACACTTAGATTGGAGATAGAACAATACACTTAATATTAATAAAATGGATAAGTTACAAAAGAATGAAAATGCCTGCGAGGCCGAGCCATGCCATTCGATGAGTTAAATTTCGAATCAATGTTACTGCGTCTACCATTATTGAGGTAGTTTTAGTGTTACATGTTGAAAGTCTGTTTCACAGTTATTTTACGTTCAGCTTCGAGGATTGTGGTTAGGATTCACTACCACTAAGAATACTAGCAAATATTTCTGCATACAAATCATACAGCATATATCTTACATCATACAATAAAGTGATTTCCTATCCTGGTGGGATAGTTCAGTGGTAACGTTTCTAACCGTGGAGCTGATAGACACGGGATCAAATTCGTCACGGAACATCAGTTCCCTCAACATTAAAGTTACTAGATCACATACTATTAAAAACGAGAATCAAGAGAATGATAATTTGATTGAATGTGCATTAAAATAGGGAATTATTCGGTTATTAAATTGTGCAATACGATCTCATGAATGAATATGTATCGGAAATCAATTAATATATCACATAAATCTCACGTTGTGGGTTCAATCTCCGTAAATCCTTTTTAACCGCATCTATTTAATATTAAATAAAACGACGTTTTATCAGTAAATATAAATAAAAGATGGATATTGAAGTCATTCGCTTAAATGACATACATTTACAAAAATTATGGGCTGTCATTAGGCGGTTAGAATGACCTAGAATTCTGGAAGAACAATTATTTACTTACTTACTCCTGTTACTTCTCGTGGAGGAGAATAGGCCGCACACCAGAATTTCGACATTCAGCTCTGTCTTAGGCATTCCTTTCTAGTTTCTTTCCAGTTGTTATTGATCCACTCCATATCTGCTTCCTTTTGATTTCAAGTAAATTTTGCCATGTGATACAGCTTGATGATTTCCTCAATGTATGTCACAACCAACACCTACATCGTATTTTATGGTTTGTTCTCTCCAACAGTAGTGTAATTCTGATGGTATCTGGGAAACGAACATTCAGTATCCTACGGTGACAATTGCTTAGAAACACTTATACTGTTTTGATGATCGTTGTGATATTTCTCCACGTTTCAGCTCCGTACATTAGAACTGTCTTCACGTTCGTATTGAAGATTCTCACTTTGATATTAGATCACAGTTGTTTTGAGTTCCATATGTTCTTCAACTGTGAGAATGCTATCCATGCTTTATCAATCCTCGCCTTGCTTCATTTTGACTCATACACTATTATGATACGATTTTTCATTCTTGAGTAATGCTCACTCTATTCATTACAATCATTTACATTCATAGTCACTTTTGTTTAGATCTTGGCGCAATTGTGTATTTTGTATTTTATGGCACGATATGACCTGTTTGCTTTGAATATAAACACAGTATATTTGAACTAGAGGGCTCATATTGTGGAGGTGGAGATTTGTGTTCGGGACTTAAGAGGAACGGCTAGGCAAGAAGCAGGACCGGTTCAGACTCTAGACGTCTCTTACGTGTTTACGTATCATTAGTCTAGTCGATAAATCAATGTTCTCTAATTGACGGTATCGTTACGTAGTACATTCGTAGGGCAGAGGGCCTTAAGATACAACAGTATTTTTTTCATAATATATTGGGTTAGTTGGATTGATCTTTGCATTCGGTTTAATTGTTTGCTTGAACGATGCTAAACTAAACGTCTTTAATCATCAAACCACTTGGAGAAAAATATTTAAATGACGATAATGGACGGTTTGATTTAATAAAAATAGTAATCTATATTTATATTCACCGAGTTTGATGTGTTTAACTTGTTTGTTGTGGTTGGCGTCTTGTTCACGAAAATTCGTTTCAAGTGGATAGAACATACATTACGGATATCATTAAACTGCATCTCAAGTCAAGCCCTAACTTGGAATCTTGAAGGGATACAGAAATTAGGAAGGTCAAAGAACACATTACGTCGGCAAAAATAGAAGTAGATATAAAGAGGATGAATAACACATGGAAAGGATTGTCCAGGACAGAGTTGAATGGGGAGTGCTGATGGACTACCTATGCTCCTCCACGTGGGGTAATGGGCGTAAGACTTTGTCGTTTAAAAAAGTAAACCACTGACTAGGAAATATTATTTCATGTTAGTTTGCTATATTGCTAGTGATTAATGTATTTACTGAAATACATATATATATATATATATATATATATATATATATATATATATATATATATATATATAAATGACTGTGAAACTCACCGCAGACACTTCTAAAGGCAATTCCTGTTTCAATCACTTCCTTAAATGTGCTTTTAACACGTACTTAAGTTGAAAAAAGATCAAGATAGGACAACTATAAGGATCATCATACAGAATACTGACTTATTTAAAGACCTTGTTTAAGTTTCACCACTAGTAATACTGATATAACTGTCTCTATCATGATATATTTCTCAACATGACTATTACATAATATATAATAATAGTGCTATCCAGCACATACTTATATACACTAAACAATTATCATGTTCTTATGTATGTTATTGGTGATGGTTGTAGTAGTCCTCCAAGTTTTAGTTTCGTACAGTAAGATCGTCCTGATATTGGTATTGAAGATTATGTCTTTGATAATGGTTGATGGTTGTTTTAAGTTCCACATGTTCTTTAACTGTAGGAATGCTGTCAATCTTTTGCCAATCCTCGCATTCCCGTCTGAATCAGATCTTCCTCGTTCATTGATGATACTACCCAGGTACGTGAAGGATTCTACTTCTTCCAAAGTTTCGCCATCAAGTGTGATTGAATTGGTGTTCACCACGTTGAATTTGAGAATGATATAATAACAGTCTATGGAATACTCACATTATTAGGATAATGATCCAGTAGCTCTTATAGCCACTCACATTATAGTACCATTTACCATCAAGAATGAGATCACTTAATAAACAATCGTATATCTCAGCTTACAGAATTCACAATACAAACTAGATTATAAGTCAACAGTCTTTTATTTTAAAGGTTTGCTTATTTGAAACTCTATTAAACATACATTTGGACTCTTTATATTGTTTTTCAGTTTGTTCCAGAGTTGATTTTCTTTCATCAAGTGATTTCCCTTTAGTAGAATAAAAATGAAATTCAATTATTAATGCAAATAATCTCATGTTTTAATCATGATGATTTACATTTCAATACATATGTGATTTGTGTTTTATTTTGCACACGTCCACGATCTCACACCGTGAGATTTGAAACCAAGACCTATCAGTCTCGCGCGAGAACACTTAAACTCTAGGTTATTGAGCTGATATCCAACGGTGGTAATGTCTAACTTTAATTTATCCACGAAATTGAGTCACAACTTATATTTTGCAATTATCTTTTACACTTACAAGATGTATTTTAGTTTATTCAATTGCCAATTTTGTCGCACAAAATGACTTTTCAACCGAAGGCACCAAATGTTGATCAATAATGCAGTTTTCGATATTATGTGATCAGTAGTAGTAGTAGGTGGTTTCACAAATACTTCAAGATTTCTGATAAGGTTATTAAATAAATACGGGTACACTCAACAAATGAGTCCCAAATAGGACGGAACGCGCGTCGAACCGGATTCCACTATTTGCCACTATCCATCTCTGCTTATGAAGGTTTTAAATTAAATCAATACGCACAGTATGCACATAAACCAATAAAGAACTGATCGATCGCAGTCCTGAATAACAATGGGAATATATAAGTAACCATCACCAAGTGATTTTACCGGATGATTTCACACAGTATTGAAGTAAGCTTCAACAGTTATTGGCTGAAATTGATTTCCACAAATTCTTACTTAAATATTGATTGATAAAACTTCATTCTCAATATGGATATCAAGTACTCACCGTTATTTTCTGTCAAAGACGAGCTTTTCGATGAAGTTTTCATGTTCAAGTATATGTCTGCATGAAACAAAAAACAATAGCAGTCAATGAGAATTTGAAAGTAGTATGTATAGACTTTGATACCTCATGAATTTATGATTTTAACAGTTGAACCCATTCAAAATGTTATTTGCACTGAGGTATTTTCTTGAGGCAGATTCACAAAACTCTTCGTAGAACACCAAAAAGAAAGGCTCTAAAAACATTGAGAATCATCTTATTCAATGAACATCTCCTAGGAGATTATGCAGAATTCTAGAAAAACATCAATAAATTAACAAGTCATATACACATTTGCGTTTGAATGATTATCTATGCTGCTACTATGTTCATCAGCCCTCCAGAAATTTTCAAAAACACAAGGACGTCTGAAACTCTATAAAAACCTTGAATCTTTCGTACATGAACGGATCGTTGAAGTATGAAGTCCCCTGTCTTTCCTGTATTTCAGTTTCCCTGTGTCGCTTCTGGTTGTTAGTGCATCAAAAATGACAGTTTTTCTTTGACTCCTGTTCTATTGTAAACTCATTCATAGATATAATAGATTGATATAGTTTCTTTATTGGTCAAGTGTATTTCATTACTGATTATGTGATGTTAAAAAGTTTTTATCCAAAACCTACTGGTTGCTAGGTCAAAGTTTAATCTCGCATTCCACTTCTTTTTTGTTGCAGATTCTATTAAACTATAGGCTACAATCGATGAGTGAGTAAAGAAAAAAATTAGTCGAATATTTAACGCAGATCACTACGAATTATAAATAAGGCAACTCAAATTCATTCCATTAAGAACTGGTCAGTCAGTCAGCTACAACGTAGGATCAGTCACATATGTGCATCGATCCAAGTTGTCACAGCTTACTCATTAGTACAACAAGATGAACACCGAATTCATCGAGGTAGTTACTTCACTGGTAGTAATATATGAAAGATTGTGTACAAAGATATAGTACAGAAACAAAGATAAAGTTGGTAGAAAGAAAGATATAGAGCGATTTTATTCACATAGATTATGGTAGGAAAATGAATGTATATACGTCACGCGGACCCCAATCAACTAGTCTGCATCTATCAACATGGTTCATGGTAGAAGTTAGTGACTTCAAGCACTGATGCCACATTTTGATTTGTGCGCCCCGAACATTCTTCCAATCACTTTCAACACTAGTCGGTCAGTATTGCGCGTCGTGGTTTTCGCTGTCTAGGCATACGCAACACGTGACTCAACTATCTCAGTCGACGAGGATTCACAACATCATCAACCGATTTACCATCATTCCCTGATACCTCCATCTAACCTGACTATTACTTACCTGGTGATCCCAGCAAATGCGAGCAATATTTTCAAGGCATCTGTGGTCAAATACTAGTAGCTTACCAGTACCTTCCACGCTAACAACCATGTTTCGCTGCCGTAAATTAAATCAAAACGGACTGCCGCGTGGTATACTCGTTATTTTATTGATGAGCGGATATCTCGCCTACGCCATGGGTGACGTAATTTGGCAAAAGCCAAATGAGCTTCCTGGATACGTGAAGAGATTTCGTCAGACACCATCCCACCAGGACTGGCCAGACTTCCAAGATAAGTGAAGTTGTCGATGCTCCCTATCCTTAGTTAGACAATGTCTCTCCTTATGCTTAAAATTAATGCTTGCCATAAATGACCATGTTTTGATATTGTAAACTAGAACAGAATGAATTGACGTGCAGTATATTGATATATAATATAATCTAAAATATATAAATATGGCTAGTCGTTTATGTTTAATACAACCTCATTATAAAATTTACTAAACAGCTTACATAGACATCAATTTACTATTGTAATATGCTTAGTTCTTAGAACAGTGACAAGTTACTGGGACAGGTTTCATATAGAACATATGCACATCATGTATAGTAACCGTCAAATTATAACATAAAAATGTGTTTTTTAAACTTACAATATTCATCAAGATCTGAATTCCTCTTTATATCAGATAGTCGTTCATATTTTTCTGATAAAAAAGTGGTAATACAGACTCTTACATTATTGAAATGTTCATCACTTTTTACTTTTTTATATAGAGCGGCCTGCTTGATCATCTGAGCTACCTTTTCCTGCCTTCTAGATATTTCAACAAGTTATCTAGTTTTGTTTGTTTTAATATTTCATTATTTTTATTATTCACATAACCTTTTGTGCTGCGTTTCTGAAAAGTTACAAAAAACTCAATAAAAGACAATTTGGTTGCTGGCAATATGCAGCGAAAAGAATGCACATTGTTCAGATGTTCGTTTACCGAACTGCTTACATCTAACTGGCGATCACACAATATTTATCGACAGGACAGACGAAGGAGAAAGAAACGAAAACTTGTAGGAATACTTTACGCTGAGAACTCCATATTGTACCAAAAATATAATATTGAATAAAGCTGATAATAATAACAATAATAATAATAATAAAAAGTATAATAAACATCGGAATATTCCATAAATGCGACAAAATACGATGTGTAATGTGATCCGGTGTGACTCATGCAGTTTTGTGTATGGGTTTATGTAGTAATATTGTGCCACTAATAGTCAATTTTTTGAGTGCAAGTGGATTATCGAAACTCTCTCTGTTTTATTTCTTTTTCCCAGACCATTTTGTCTCATGGTATATTCATAAATGTTGTTTCCATTACGTCTTTTGATGTCTAGGTACACCATCTAGTCTTTTCCATGTCACTTAACTAAAACCGATTGCAGCCTGTCTTTGAACGGATCCTTTTCATCGTCACTGCTATCACTGGTGAGTGCATAACATAAGATAAAATTCATTGGATTACCCTCATTCTTTGTTTTTTAAGATGTTTTTTATGATCATTGATCAATAAGATTCCTTTCCTTTACTTGATTTTTGTGCTTCTTTGAACAACATGAGAGGAAATGCCTGTCTACAAGGGGCATTTCCTTCTTTGTGAATACACTTCAGAAACATCTCCACCGAATCTATTTTCAATCAAACGAATTTCACTTGTTGTTTCCATAGCTGTTTTACTGATCCTCCCAGTATGACACATTGTCCAGACGTTCAGTGCTTCAGTAATAATTGTTGATCTGATTATTATTAGAAGAATCGGCTGTGTGACTTCCGAAGAATTGCGCATTTCATCATGAGGAATCATACTTATTCCTTCATTTGGAGGGCGGATTTTAAATGGTCTAATCTTTTTAACCTGGTTAATGTTTTTTGAGCAAGGTAATTTTCAACGAGATGGAGTTGCTGACCTCATGTCCAACCTTCCTCTTTTACACGTTCTTTGGACCAGTAGTGACCCTAGAATGGCTACAAACGGAGTTAATCCATGTGTAATTATAAAATAGTATTGAATGTGGAGTCGTGTGAAAGCAACACCAATCTCCGATATTCCACAGCATATTTTGCTATGATAAAGCCTCATACACTAGGCACACATCTACCACAGTGAATACAACAACGTTAAAATTTGCTTCATTTAACTTATTTCGAAATTATCTATTGGGTAACATCGTTGGTAAACTCCAACTGAGTGATTATGAGTGACACAAAGGCGGCCTGCTTGAATATCTGGACTACCTGTTCTTCCGATCTACATATTTCATCAAGTTATCTGTTTTGTTGTTTGTTTTAGCTCATCATTATGTCTATTGTGCACAAAATCTATTCAGGCGCGTTTATAAAATGTTTACAACCTTTCGCTATACGGGATACAAAAAGGTACAATCGGCGACATCATGATGGCCGGCAATATACATTGAAAAGAGTGAATATTATTCAAATGTGGATTACCGAACTACTAACATTTAACTGGTCATCATTCAAAATTTATCGTCACAATCGATCAAGATAAAAGAAAAGGAAACTTGTTGAAATAATTTATGCTGAGAACTCTATGTTGTACCAAAAATCTAATGTTGAATAAAGCTTCTAATAATAATAATAATAATTTTTCAAAATGAAATCCAATTTGCCACAGTTATTTATCAGTTATAAATGTGAAATGCATACAAAATGAATTGACTTACCTGAGTAGGTCTGCAGTAAATTGGCATCATTGGGAGTGATATCTGTATTTAGTAAAAATTACTCGAGTATTAATCTTAGAAACTAAAATGGTGTTGTTCTTTAGAAACATATTACTCCATCATTCTGATGCACTAATAATGCATTTACAAACTGTTTGTTCAAACGCTAACATTACATTATGCATGATATTTGCTAATGGGATGTGGTTGTATTTTGTTACTCACTTCCCACTATTAAACCAACATGGAGCCAATGAACTGTGACAAAACTAGAGCGTTCCTAACTTACTTATGTAAAACGAAAATCTCACTTGAAGCATAGGCCAATGAACAGTGATGTTTAATCAACACCGTCTTGGTACCTTCTTTACAGGTAATGCTTATTACTATTCACCGTCTTTACATATATTTCCATGCTGGCTTGTTCACAGAGACAGTCGACTAATGGTTAAACTATCCCGTCAAAAGAATAAGATCATATGTCTTAAAAGCTTTATAAATAACAGTGTGTTACTGATATTGGTTGTCATAATTTGCAAGTTTCACTGACTTTGTTTAAAAATTTGCATTGAAAATTTCGACTTCGACTAGAACTGACAGTTATTTTGAGCCTCAGATATCCATCAGTCGTAGATGTGTTGCCCGTCCATTGCTAATTCTCACTTTCACATCTACATCAGATCCTCCTTTCTGCGTATGTAAGTAAAGACTAGTATCTCTTCCTGAGCAGTGTACTCAATCCAAAATTTTATGGCATTTTCTGCCTTTGACTTCAAAATCTGAAGGCAGTTTCGCTTTGTAATTAATTCCATCTAACCAGTCCTCCTGTGACATTGTCGCTTCAGTTTCATATTGAGAAACACTAGTTGGCACATCTCAGGTAGAATTGTGTTTGTGTTGGCGTGGTAATATGGATACATCTGTAGCCAATACTTGGAAAACACATACATCTGCAAATTGCACACCA